AAAGGCCAAACAACAACCAACATGATGCCGTTTTTGGACATGTGTATCCGTATGTAGATACACCTATAACGTGTTTTGTGTGTCTGACATGTATCTGTAAGCGGTGGGAGGCAGGGAGGGCACTTTCAGTTCAGGGGGCAGGCAGACAAGGCACAAAAGCTCTCAGCGCCAAGCAAGGTAAGGCGGGACGGAACCAGAAAACGGCTGGCACCCGCACACCAGACAGACCGGGCGGAGAGTCAAAACGGACTCCGCGCACCCCGTCTCTCTTCTGTCTGTCCCACTTCGCTTTCGTTCTCGCGCGGGTTTCTCCCGAAGCAACAAGCAAGCCAAGCAGCCAAGCACGTAGGACGCGTTGCATGTCTCCCCCTTTCTAAATCCAATGGGTGGCTGAGCATCGTGCACCTACATACCTTCTTGGTAGGTAACACAAATAAACATTATGATGTTGCTGCGAGGTCGTGGGACAGTTGCGGGAGGGGGCAAAGCATAACGGACGGGGCAACATGCAACCCCGCCTCGGAGCCTTCTCCGTTTTTTTTTGGGGGGGGGGGGGGGGGGGGGTTCTTCAAGAGGTCGGGCAGCGGGAAGTATCGGTATCCCGCAGCTAAAGAAGGGATCTCAGGTGCGGCGGGCTGGGTGGGTAACAGCTAGGAACATCAGACCATCATGTCTCGGTAGTTAAGACTCGAGGGAACGCCAGCTGGGAATACGCGGGCTTTTCTCAACTCACCCTTCCCCCGACTCCTACAAACAGCTAACGATGGACTCCAATCCTGGTCTCCCTTCTGTTGTTTGTAGTGGTTTCTCATAGATGAACAGCTACTCTGCACGTTTATGATATCTTGGAGAGAAGAGGCCAGTAACCCAAAGTCCCAAACTGGTCACCAAGGTAGGAACCAGAAACCAACCCCTCCTGTTGTTCATTGGTCGTGACACCATGCTGCTTGCTCAACCCAGACTACACGGAGCGGAAATATGCGAAGTGGAACGTATTCCGTCCCCGTTTTTAGTGGGAAAATGGAAAACTGCGAGTGTTGTAGTGCCCTATGACCGCCCTGTGATATGGTTATCCCCTTGCTCATCGGTAACTTGACCAACAACGGCTAGGTCCCCACGCTACCAGACTCCTGGATACGGATCCGTCCCAGCAAATATGGGGGGTTAGATACTGGGCGTGACGGGCTACAGCACACTGATTTCGCCAGGCACACACAGCCGAATGGATCACTCCACGACTGCCCGGGGGTTGGAGCAGAATCGTCAAGACCACCAATGCCCAGGTTGCGATAGAGGCGAAACCGAAAGCGACTGTGAAAGCTAACTGGTATCGAATGGGGTGCATACGAACAGGAGTTCAGGACTTGAAAAAGCGGGACGGACTGGACTTCGGACAATTCAAATGCCCCGCCCTCCGTGAACGATCCAACGGTCAGGGCCATCGGCGTCTGCCCAATTGCGCCGTTCCCGCTCTCGTGCCGCCTGGTTTCCTTCAAGCGGTGAGCTGGGGGCTGCCAGCTTAGTGTGGAGGAGTTAACTCTTTCTCTCAGCAAGCCGCATGAGCAGATTCCCATCCGATGAGCGCATGCAATGCGAGATGGGGATTTGTCAAATTGTCCATGCCATCGCCAGGGAATGAATAGGTTAGACCCCCAATGAGTAGCCGAGCGGGATGGGTGTGGGTGGTGGACAAGGAGAGGCGCTGCCAAGAAATCTCGCATTCGGTTTTCGCTCTGAACCCGAACTTTGGCAAACCACTGGGCTGGGCGAGTGGTGGGTGGGTTCTGCTCCAGATGCCACGCGATTTCGATTTCCAATGGAGCCCATAGTGAAGCTTGGATGCGACTGGCCTGTCAATACGTGGTTTGGCTCACGCGTGCCGCGTCATTAGAGTGTGGCTGTCCTCTTCCCCACCCGTAGCCGTCGTTTATACCCCAGTCTGATAGGTAGGAATGGTTCCTGAGGTCGTTTGGTGCTCGGGTCGTATTCTGGGCTTCTGACCGCTACAACTTGTATTCAAAGAGAGGGGCCATCAAAGCCTCGGTCGTTTGAGAGTGTGCAGGTTTAAAAAGGGCCAGGCAGGAAGGGAGGCACGCTACAAGGGCAAGCAACATGCATTGCAGTGCGGCAGGGCGCAAGTTCCGTCCGCCGCGGCTCTATGCCGGAGTTTTGCTCCGGTCCATGGAATTAAGACAACCTGCCTACAACGTCTTCGCCGTGTCTTGTTTTCATGAGCCTTGGTGATTCATCATCAAACATGTCGGCCAGCCTAGTAGGGCAAGCGGCCTGGCAGCAAGTTGCTCAATCAAATGTTTGTTTCAGCTCGCCAATTTCCCAAAAGGGGAGTTCGACAAAGAGATCGTCGTATCATGTCTCTTGAAGGTGAGCTGAATGGACCAACAGATCGGCTGCCTCTCTTCATTTTGGCTCTGCCATCCCCGCGGGTTTCATCACAACGCCGGTCCCACTCGATTTCCTGTGCCGGCCAGGGGAATGCTGACAGGATGGACGCAATGAGGAGTGAGGAGCCGTGGTGAGAACCTCTTCGGCCAACAGTCGTTAGTGGTTAGTTCATAAGATAGAGATGGCTGGTTTGTGGCAGGGGCCCGGAGCCGTCTCCGGATCCTGATGAAGCTATTTCCTGGTTCACAATGACTTGGTAATCGAGCCGAGTGCGAGTCTCGAAATTACAGCCATGCAAGACAGAAAAACAGGGAACTGCGCCATCATCCATCCTTTAAGAATCGCCGGCGCCGACCCCCGCTGATCGGTCCGCATCTGAGGCCATTCAAAAAAAAGACGGGGCGGCGCCGAGACAGGTGCATTCGGGGGATCAGCGTCTCGGTATCCCGAATTTGTCATGAGCTCGTGACAGCGTCTTCGCCCGTATCTAGGATATATACAGGCACTAACTGAGACCTGTATGCTGATTTCATCCGATCGGTGATAAACTTGCTGGCAGCTTTTTCGGAGAGTTCGCTGCTCGCTGGATGGTTGGCTGGACTGGTGCTACTGCTGCTGCTGCTGCTGTGCACGAGCGGGCTTCGCAAGACGACGAAGGCGAAACAGAAATGCTGAAGTCCAAGTCAAACAAAAGTTCCGTTTGAGAACACGCACGCCCAATCAGGACGCGGTGCCGAGAAAATGCCCAGGCTGGGCGCGAGGCTGGGCGTTGATGCGCGTGAGAAGGTCAGCCCGCCGTTAAGGTATGCATGAGTGAGCGGGGTCGTCGACCTGTGAGGTACTTTGAGCGACTTCTACGGTTCACGACAGGCCTGCCCCTTTCAGCATTCACCATCGCACTTTCTTGCAACGCCCATAATCTAGCGCTTACCTTATTTGTTCAGGGAGGAAAGGGCGCGAACTACATGCATGTCCTACCCCAGAAATGCTTGCCAACGACACATCAGGTACACATACACGAAGATATCTCGGAATTCAGCAGGCAGCAGAACTTAAAATTGAAAGCAAAAATATTCTTGTTTTATTGTTGAAAAAATTGCCACCGCCAACACACGGGAAACATTTCGTTACGACTTCCTAGTCCGGCCTTCGGATCGAGGTGCCTGTCTGTGTCGGGACCACTGGTAACCAGACACTTCGACAAACTTTCAAAGCTGTTGCTGCAAGGCATGACTTCATTCATGTCACACAAGGAAGGGGCAAGCCGCGCTGTCCTCTTTCGGCGATATGCCTGTGTTACCAAAGGCATGCCTGTATATGACTGAAAATCATATGTTTTCTTGCTGGTTGAGGGATTGTTGTTTGCAACGCGATACGACCTTGAATAATCCATAAAACATTGCACCTTGCAACTCTCCAATCATAATCACCTCTTTCGACTCATCGCTTTCATCCTTCGTTCTGATGTCGTACTTCTTCTGCCTTTACATGTTTGGCGATTAGGGAGAACCAAAAAAAATTAAAAATAATAAACCCCCCTTCCGCCCGCCGGCCGCCGCATTTGTAAGCTCGGGCGACATTGGGCCCGCGGAGAGCAAGATTAATCATACTTGACAATACTAAACTGCCTCACTAGTCAACGATTTCGTTGGCCCGTTCCAGATCCTTTTGTCTTTGAGGCTAGCTGGGTATCTCATCACCCTTTGTCCGCTCTCCCGCGCGCGCGGGTGCCTGTCAGTCCACCACCTCTTTCTCAGTAGGGCGGTGCGGGTGCGGGGGTGGTTGAACCGCAAAAGGGTGGCCAAGCACCACAATCCTTCAAGGCGATCGTCCTCCGCCGCCGAGCCGACTGCCGAGCCGACATGGACTCAACTTTCCGTCCGTTTCGGCGGACTCAAGGCGACCTGCAGCATCGGTAGGGCGCGAAGTTGCGGTCAGCGACGTCACATCAAAAGACAGGTGTTCTTTTCCGCATCTCTGCTTCCGCGTCTTGTACCCAGTAAGTACACTGGAGGACAGGGCTGCTTGCTGTCTTGACTGGGAAGCTCCGCCCAATCCTCGCTGTCTGTGGCGACGTGAGCTCCGAAATACTACCAATTTCCATGTTGCTGTCGCAGTTCAAAACACTTGTTAGGCCTATGATGTTGTGCCCATCAGCACGAGGTAGGTATATGAAAAAATTAAGTAATAATACAAACTGCAAAATTGCAAACATCGGAAAGGACGAAACGCGATTTGAACGCGTGACCTGCCGGACTGCAGCCGGCTGCTCTACCCCTGAGCTATTCGTCCTCATTTGCATTAATCCAACCTATGAAATCTTGCATCATTCATAAGCCTCAATCGATGATGAAGACTAAACTAAACTAGATTAATCATTTCATACTCCATTATTCTATCAAAGAATGAATTGAATACAGTAGCTGTAATAAATGCAACGCTAACAACGCCCTTTTAAAATAAGATTCTTTTTAAAAAAGATGTAAAGGAGAAAAAAGATCTCTCGATTTGATTCTCAATGGCGCTCCGTCAAGAGGCGCTGCGGAGATATAAGAGTGGGCATGAATGCTAATCTTCAACAATTGAAAAACCCACCAGCCCACGTAGCATAGCGGCTAATGCGTTGCACTTGTATTCAATCGTCACATGCAAAGATCGTAGGTTCAAGTCCTGCCGTGGGCAATAAACTTTCGACGGTTCACCGAACCCATCTTTTTGCCGTGCCCGATGAGCAAGATCTCTTATTTACTCACGTTGTGGCGAATGCCGGTCACGGTGCTTTATGGGACGTGCGAGACGAGAAGTGAGAGAAAGACAACATAGCAGAGCAACGAGTGTGGCGCTCAATCCAATCACAACCTTATTGGACCATCAGTAAAAAAAAAATGGGTTTGTTTGTTCAAGCGTGGTCTTGCCCTATGGGTATTAACTATTATTTACAGCTCTTCTTTGCGAGGGCCATCACCACCAGTGGTATTTTCTTCTCTATGTATATAAAAAAAACCAGGATGCTTGCATCATTTTTGTTCCACGCATTTGCTCATCACTAGACACTGCACAGCAAGGACCAGGGCCGCTCTTGCTGTGGTTATTCGTGCTCATCCATTCCTCCCGATATGCTGCTGAAATAAGAAAAGAACCAACCCAAGACCACCGGGTTAAAATGCTATGCCGTTTTGGTACTGCCGTAAGGATCGTAAGAATGAGATTTGTTGCGTGCTGGTGTGTATGGGTGTGGCTCGAGGCCTCAAGGGTTTCCCAATGGATGGCATCGATATCGATACACATAAAATACAGGGTAGGTCGCACTTAGATGCCAACAGCAGCAAGAAGTGCCATGGCCGCTGCAAGACTCAGACCGGCGTTCACGCGGCCGCTGCTGTTCACAGTCACGAGGCCAGACTGAGTTGGCTTTGGGCGGAGGCTGCCAGTGCCAATGGGTGCAGCAACAGTGGTTCCCGTGGCAGTCGCGGTCGCGGACACACCACCATCGACGATAGGCTGAGCTGTCACAGGAATGACTCCGACGGAGCCAGCAGTGCCAGTCTGGAAGCCAACCTGGGGCACCTGCAAGGTAGTGCTGATGACGGAAGTGGTGCTGGAGCTGGGGATCTCAACGCCGGCAGAGTCAGTGCAGGGCACGACGGTGGTGACATCAACAGTGATCGTGGTGTACACAGGAGCAACGGCAGTCGGCGTGGCGGTGGCAGTGATGTAGGTGGTTACGGTGGCGTCGACAATGCCAGGGTTGCTTGAAACGAAGGGAGCGCAGATACCCTGGAAGAAGAGCACAGCCTCGGAGACAATCTGGTCAGAGGCGCCGTGAGCATAAATGCAGTTGAAGATGCTCTTGACAAAGACGCTGTCGGGGCAGTAGCAAGCGGAATCCGAGTTATCCTTGCAGCCAACGCTGAACAAGAAAGTGTTCAGGCAAGACGGAACGACATCGGGGCAGGGCAGGGTCTCCACAGGAGCGGCGGATGACACAACGGCGCTCTGGGTGGCGCTGATGGCAGGAGAACCGGGAGCGCTGCTGATGGCACCAGGCACAGATGAGGCGGCTGGGGAGCCAGGAACGCTGCTGATAGCACCGGGGGTAGACGACGCGGCCACAGGGGGGAGCACAGTGGTGCGGGTCTCGGTGACGGGGCAAAGGGTCGTGCCAACAACAACAGTGACGACAGTGACGGTGATCGAGTTCGCCGGGCAGTTGGGAACAGTGGGGGCGCAGCTGACGAGGGTCGACGTGAGGGTGGTAAAGATGGTCGACGTGGACTGGAAGCTGGTCACGATGGTGGTCGTGATGGAAGAGGACGCGGCGGCGGGGCTGCTGGAGACGGGGGCAACCGTGCTGCTGATCACACCGGGTGCGGAGCTGGTAACACCCGGAGCAGTGCTGGACGCAACGGAAACGGCGCTGCTGACGGCACTGCTCGCGGCGCTGCTAACGACGGCAACACTACTAACAGCGCTGCTAACACCCGGTGCAGTACTGGACTCGGCGGCGGGTGTAGAGCTGCTGACGCCCGGAGCAGTGCTGGATGCGGCGAGCGTAGTGCTGCTGACTACCACGGCGCTGGACTCCGCAGGCTTGCTGCTGGTAATGGCAGGAGCTGTGCTGGATTCAGCAGGCTTGCTGCTGGTAATGGCAGGAGCTGTGCTGGATTCAGCGGGCTTGCTGCTGGTCGCAGGCGCAGTGCTGCTAGCTTGAGCGGGCGTGCTGGAGGACTTCACTTCCGAGGTAGTGGTCTTCACCGCAGCAGTGGTTGTAGAGCTAGCAGCCTTGCTTGTGGTGGTCTTGATGGACTTGGTGCTGGAGGCAGTGCTGCAGTCGAAGGATACAGTCGGAACCTCGATGCTGCAGCTAGGCTTGGGCTTGTTAGGCTGGGGAGGGAAGATGATGGTGACGTTCTTGGCGCCGCCGCACTGGGTGTTGGTGACAGTGGTACCGCTCTTCTTGCACGAGTTGCGGTGCTTGCACGTGGAGCCGTCGGGCATGTCATAATGAAACTCGAGGTCACAATCGAACTCGGGCTTCACGTGGATGGAGCCCAGCGAGAACTTGTCAACAGCAGACCCTGACCCGCAACCGAAAGAGGGCGAGGTCTCCTTCTTGGAACCGCATGTGCCGTGGATATAGTTGCCACCGTTAGTCCGAGGGGCAAAACGCTTTCCGCTGCCAGAGCCGCACGAGAAACCCTTGAAGTTGAAGTCCTTGTATTTGGTGAAACCGCCGATGATGAGGTCCTCGAAGTTGAAACCGGGCTTCTGCGCGTCGGTGCATGTGTTGTCGGTGTTGCTAGGGCAAGTGAATGGTTTTGCTTGGTGGAAGCCCTGTTTCAAGTGTTAGTCAAGTGAAGTGGTTGTGTGATGTTGGGATATGACATACTGTTGCCGCCACGCTGGCAGCGAGGGCAAGAATAGGAAGTGTGGTCTTCATGATGACGATGCACGTATAGAAATATAGAAAACGGTAACTATGGTGGATATGACGAGTGGTTGAGCGAGTCTTGCGCTGCTTGATGGTCGGGCTGCCAGATCTAGTCTTGGCGTAAGTTGTATATCAACGAGTGATGGTATAAGAACGGCTGTAATCGAACCGAAAGAAACGAAGTCTGAGAGCAAAGAAGCGAATGGCTTTGCGTCTCACAACAAACAAGATGTCAAACAAGATGAGAGGAAAAGGAAAATGGATACGATGCTGAGGTCTGGGAGAGAGCAGCAGACCGGGAGGAGGGCGGCCAAGCGGACACTCATATAGCAACTCGACATACTCCAGAGCGTCACTCACACTCGGCTTGTTGCTGGCTGGCTGGACAGGACCCGGCCCATCGACCCTGCGACAGGGGGAGAAAGCGACAAGGAGAGTCAGAGAGACATGGGCTGCCATGTTCTCCACAAAGCAACCGACAGCCAGGGCAGCTAGCTGGCAAGCCCTCAGTTACACATTACACACAGAAACACAGCTCACAGTACGCTTGTCGTGAGTCCGAACGCACCCTGTGCCGTAAGGGAAGAGGCCAGCCAGTCGTTGGCGAGCTAGAATGGTGGGGAACGGTGACTCAAGCAGGCCTGCAAAGGAGTGGATGTCGACAAAAGCTGGCTGGACACTCGCGGTTGCAGACAATGCAACTCCTGCCCACGCTTGAACTGCTTCGCGATGCAACTCGGCTTGTCCAGGGGGACGATGGCCGATGGTTGTTGACTGGAGGTCAAAGCAGCCCCACCACTTAGCAGGCGCTGGCTGTTGTCAGCTTTCCAGGTTGTCGCTGCTCTGTGTGGCGCGCGGTTCAAGTAACGGCAGATCCGGGGGGTGGTTTTTAGCCAAGGGGGTGCAGGGGTGTTGGGTCAAAGAGGGGCCAAGGCCCTGGCGAGTCCGTTAGCCTCAGGGGTACGCTCTGAACTCCGCTGGCCAATCGGTAACAAGTTCGACACCCGATCAAGACGCGAGGCCTGCCACTGCCAAATATTATGAAGACGCAAAAGACAGACGGACTGACGTCCTGAATGGCCGTTTGTTGTGTCGTCGGGCCTGCGGCAACAGGGCCTCAGACACTTCTGATAATCCGAACTGAGCATTGCGGGTCATTGACGGTCGCGGCTCGGCGCCGCCACCTTCATCCATGCTATTCCTGTCCATCTCACCTCCGACTGACAAAGATCGACGGATCCTGTATTTTTTAGTCTTGGAACAAATGCCTCGCATGAGAGAGCACCATCACAGCCTCTACTTGCCATGGATAGCAAACTCTGACATCCTAGAGTGCAGAGTCTAACCTAGGAAGAATAGAGACTCCTCAGAGAGCAGCGTACAGTTGTATTGGTACGGCGACGGCCAACCTGAAACTGCGATGGGCTCAGCCACCATCGATCACGCTACTGCAGGTACCGCCGTCCACCGATCCCTCCCGACGTGCAGAACCATGGACAGTCGGCCGTCACTGAAAAGCACTTCGCGCTCCCCCACAACCACAATCGCCCTGTCCCTTGCCTCTTAGTGAAGAAGCCCAGAACCACGCACCCCGTTCTAGTGTTACGCCAGAGCCTGAGCGCGCACTGACTTCAAACCCACACCAATGGCACCGTAGTTAATAACATCTTTACACGGATACAGACAGCTTCATTTGGGAGATGTGACCTTAATGATAGTAAACGGTCGAGCAAAATAGGGGCGGCGGGGTTCTGTTCTGCTTAGCTCTACCACTATGGTAAACCAGATCAGAGCACTGCAAAAAGAGCTGGAGAAAAACAACAGAAAAGAAAAAAGAAAGAAAATTGGGCAGCAAGTCTCCCTAACAGTGGTAATCCACAATGCGGGCGCAGAGGCGGTTTCATGTTTCAGCCAGTCCCATACGAGAGTTGGAAACTGGCTTTCATCTCCAGCCAATGGCCAACGATCATTCCATTTTCGGGCCGCAGCCCACCTCCCTGGTTGGCTGAGAGCTCACCAGAAAGAAAAAGGGAAAATGGCATCTATGTCCGAGCTCCCTCCACCTTTCTTCGATATTGGTCACGTTGATTCAGATGGCCCAGCTCGTTAGATTCGACGAACGGCCTGTGGACTCAAACTCCATCGCCTCTCGCCTGTTGTCGCTCGGTCAGGACATGTTGTTTGATTAGCTGCGCAGTAGGCCCAACAGAGGAGTGGCATTGCCGTTTGCGGTTGTCAGAAAGCCCAAGAG